TGAGGTTCTTTTACGTTCCGTAAAGTTACAACACGGGACACACAGCTTAAAGTCCCTCCCGGAGGACTTGTTCCTTGAATTTTTCTGCCCTTAAAAATTTGATGACCTCCGCCGGGTATTTGAACCTGCATACCACGAGTCATGAGGTGGGAACGTTACCTCTAGACTAGTTGAACTATGCGCGGTGTTAGAATTGGGACAGATAAGATAAATAATCTTAACAAGTTTTCGGTATATAAAATATTTATTATAATTGACGAACATTTTTAAATACTTTTTAAATTTTACAATGACGTAATGGCAAGCAATGAAATAGATTGACGTAAATAGAGCACCTGATGATGGCACTGTAGTGCCGAAACATGTTGTGAAATAACAAGTGAAATTGAGTGCACTAAAAGACGGACACTGCATACATATCATGGACGAAGATCAGTGCAACAGGACGCTAAAATACAACTTTACCCTTTAAATTCAGAAAATATCAAGGGAGAAAAAGTGTGTGGGAATGAGGCCAAAAGTTCTTGACAGTGATGTAGTAATACAATTATTGACTTTTTTTGACATCATTTGTCAATGGATAATGTCCAAAAATCAATAATTCTCTGGGAATGAATTAAACGTGTGTTACGTTTTGTAAGGTATTTCTTGTAATCTTGGTGTTTAATTTCAGTTTATTTGAGCAGTATCCTAAATCACAGAAGAAAATTTTGAACAGTTACTCTAATAGTTGATTATTGAGAAACATTTTCAACATCTATGTTCAATTATAGGCCTGTGCCTTTGTTTAAGATTCCATGATGTTCCTGCTCTTGATAAGAACGGTATTGTGAATCTCTAAAGAAAGAAAATAAATATGCCCTTATTCCAGTCTATAATCCTATGACCATGAATTTATTTAAATAATTCTGAATGAATTAACTGTATTTACAATTTTTTGTATTAGAAAATTTATTGTTAAATAAATATTGACTTTTTATTTCATTCATATTTTTCAGTTCTGCATCATTGTTATACAGTTCATCACAGTTGAATCCATGATAAACTTAATTAAGAAAATCTAGTGGCAGGTCACTCTGCTTGCTGCCTGCTTATTGCTGGTTTCTTGCTTGGGTTACTCTTTGACTCTGAAGATTGAGGTGGTTCATTCCTCAGAAACATCAGTGGACTTCTACCAAATTACAAGGCATTACAACACAGAAGGTCATACTCTTCAGAATAAATTTCCATTGGGATTTAAGGTTTTTATGGTAATGAAGATTCATATTATGATCTGAGTTATGACACAGTGTAGTCTGGTAGGTGGGTACCAATATTGCAGGTGGCCTACTCTTTGTTAGATAGAATCTGTTTATAATTGTGGCACAGAGTAACTTAAATTTTAAAATCTTGCTGGTTGACATGGGATACCGTAAAAACCATTGTTTGTATATTAGATTCTAGAGAAGCTCCATTTATGCCACCAGCTCCAAGAATGCTTCTGGCATGAAGGAAGAAAGAGAAGACTGAAGGGTCACTCAGTGATCAAGTGCCTTGCTATCAGTATCCACACAATGTGATTGTATAAATATGAGGGTAAGTCAATGAGTAAGTTACAAACGGATTTAGAACTTAAACAAATAAGAGTACTGAATTGAAAAATGCTTTTATTTCTCAACATAATCTCCCTATACATTGAGGCACTTGTCCCATTGTTCCACAAGCCCCTGAAAACCAGCAGCACAAAATTCTTTGGACTTTCGTTGGAACCAGGGGCTGATGTCCCTTTCTACAGCTTCATCGTTGGGAAAATGTTCAGCCGAAAGATGATGTTTAAGAGGGCTGAACAAATGGAAGTTGCTTGGAGCAAAGGTCAGGGAGATTATGTACTATATCCATTTGTAACATACTTATTGACTTACCTATGTAATTCAGTTTATGTTTACTAATTATTTATTATGACTGCACTTCATTCGTTTTTTACTAATATCATCCCTTATGGAGTCGGGATAGTGTAGCTGGTATAGTGACTGGATATGGGCTGGACGACCAAGGGGTCGGAGTTCAAGTCCAGGTAGGACCAAAAATTTTCTCCTCTCCATGTCATACAGACTGGCTCTGGGGCCCACCCAGCCTTCTATCCAATGGGTACCAGGGGCTTTTTCCCTGGAGGTAAAGCATCAGGGTTGTGAAGCTGACCACTTACCTTCAACTAGTGCCAAGGTGAAGAAAATGCGGATCTATACAGCGACTCCCCCTTACCCCTACATGGCGTAGTGCTCAATTAGTTAAGCACAGGGACAACTTTACCTCCACCATCATCTGTTATACTACATATTTTGTGAGCATATTCAGACTGTATAATTAAAACTGTTACTGTTAGAATAATATCAGCCAGCCATATGTTAATTTCATTATGGCAATGATAATGCCATCCTAGATATCTTCATTCTAGCAGTTGTGTATACGAAATACAAAAAATATGACTGCTGAAAGTGGTAGGTTTGCCAAACAAGTTAGCTTAATGTTTGATCTGAGGTTCTCACAGTAGTGAGCATGAAGAGTATGGTTTTTGGGTTGTAATGTCATGTAGGTCAGAGAAAGCCTGACATTCTGGAGGAACATATTGGCTCCATCTTCAGGATTGACAAGCAAGCCAAGCAAGAAACCAATGGAAGCAGGTAGCAAGCAAGCTTGCTCAGCTGAATGTGGAGATGTTTTGTTCCTTAAAAACTTAGTGTTTTCTCCAAATTTCATTGGTGTGTTACAACACAGAAGAACATCATGATCTTCAAGTTAGCTTAACAGTAGCATTTGTAGCTTTTATTCAGTAGGTTCCAGAACTGGCTTATCCTACCTCCTGTGCTAGCCTGTTTCCCGTGTTTATAATGAAAAGCAGGCTTATGGCATGGAGTCTACATGTATGTTTCTCTGCATGCTTGTGCACTTATGCACATGCATGTTCAAAATAACTTTTGACACAACTGACCAGTATTCATAGAATTGGATATGAATATGCTTGACATTTAACCTCCAGGTCTTATTACCTCAATCATTTACCCCTTCTTTTGATCCCTAAAACATGTGTCCTATATTTTGGAACTGAAAATTTGGTGACTGTATTTAACAAAGGGAGAAATTAAGAGATATGATTAGCAGAGTGCTGGGGGAGTAACAATCAACGGATAATTGTCTGTATTAACAGTTAGGTTGCTGGTAAATGATAGATACATACATAATTTATAAATTCACTGATCCGTTGTCCGAATTGGACCGGATATTGAACTCTTCAAAATAAGACTTGATTGCAGAAGTACAATCATGTCAACAGCAAATAACCACACACAACCAAAAGCACCAAATAACCATAATTTACATTGTCATTCATAAAGAAAATTACAAGGAATATAGTTATTAAATGTTATACATGCTTAGCTGAAATGTATTCATGTATTGAATAAAAAGCTTTTGTTGTGAGGAAACTTTTCAGTATGTGTTTAAAAATCTTCACATTATTGGTTATGGAATGATAATAATTAATATGTATGGAAATGCTGGTTGATTTTTAAGACATCTTCAATATTCTCAGCCCACCATGTAGCCAGAGTTTGAGACCTGGTGGGGGCAAGAATTTTCTCTTCTCCAAGTCATCCAGACTGGCTCTGGGGTCCACCCAACATCCTATCCAATGGGTAATCAGGGCTCTTTCCTCGAGGGTAAAGCTGCCGGGACATGAAGCTGCCCACTCACCTCCAACTAGTGCCAAGGTCTAGAAAATGTGGATCTATACATCCATTCCCCCATTTGCCTTCATGGCTTAATGCTTAATTAGTTAAGCACAGAGACAACTTTACCTTTTTACCTTACCACCTTGTAGCACAAATTCTCATGAATTCAGTATATATTTAATTATATCCTTGTTGAAAATTTCATATATTTTCCAAGGAAGTAATTTTATCATGTTGGTGTCACTGAATGTAAGTACGTGACTGAAGACATTAAGAAAATCAGTAGTTTCATAATAGCTGTTACTTTAAACACTTCTTTCAATGAATGTGAAAGTACCATAGTTTGGACCTCCTTAATTCCAGTATATTCTGTTTTCAGTGCAGTGCTCCCAATGGTTATGTTTGTATGTTTGTACTGTATTGGAGGTTCTTACACTAGTTACCAATGCAGAATGTTATCCTCTGGGTTGTGATACTATGTGGTTTGATAGAATTTCACTGATATATCAGAGGAATATACTGCATCCTTCTTTAGGATTAAAGAGTAAACTGAGAAATAAGATCATCTCTCAGTCAGCCCTCCTGATGTGCAGAGACCAAAACACTTCCTCACTTCCAAGAGTTCATTCTTAAAAGGAAGAATTGTTGCCTGCTTCCCACAGATTCTTCTCAAAATGAAAGACTTTTCTTTCTTCTTGCTTTTTGCTTCTTCCAAGGCTTACTTTTAGGCTTTGAAGGGGAAACCTGAACGGTANAATAATAAATATTTTAAACATATAGACAGATTTATTAACAAGCAGTTTATGTCAACAATTACTTGGTGTCATTTCCCAGAAGATAGCACAAGTTAGTGCCTAATTTGACAAGTTGGAGAAGTTGGAGGTGGAGAAGCATTATAATCATATTTTTACATTACGGTCGAATCAGCAAGGATATACTCATATGCTGCTATAATTCGGAATTACTCTTTGTAAATACGAAGAAATATTACGGTGTGGAACATACTTTTTTTTTCTGGAACGCCAATATTTAAAATATCCCGCTTGTTTATAGTTCTACATTTTTATTGATGGCGGCGCGCTTTAAACAACTGGTAGCCAACTATATAAATATGCCTTCCCCTGGAATAATTAGAGAACATTTATCTAACAAATACAAAGTTTCCGATTTATTTTTAGTAATTATGTTTAATAGATATATGATATTGTTTGATGATTCATTATGTGTGTTATAAACATACAAATATATTATTTATATCTGACCTTAGTAAGTGACTGGTTGGTCACACTGGATTGTCTATTTCAAGCATTTCAAGTTTGGCAAGAGTCCAAATTTGTCTTGGGCCTATAGCAGGGTCTATAGCCAGTTGCTCAGCATGAGTGGAATGATAAAATTACCGGCAATTCTCGCGAAAAATGTGACAACCAACACATTGGTAAGTATATGTGTTATATTTTTATGCAATGATTGTATAGTCTATCAGAATCACATAGTGTGTGGGTGTCGTATGGGATGCTAGATGCGAGGTGCAGGACGCAGAGTTGGCCGCGTTATGTGATCGGGTTACGTAACTAAATCGCAAAAAGGAATCTCCAGGTAACCAGATCAGTTGATTGAAATATTCTTATTGGAACGTATTACGATATAACAATACAACAAATACTTCATTTTTCTGGTGTTATGTATACACATATATATATAAACATTGTTTCGATTTTTGCAGAGCACCGTTGGTCGACCGATAATTGCTGCCCGGAAGATTCATTTTACAATTGATGGAAAGCAGAGTGAAGCTAAAGTCTCCCAGGTAAGTAAAATGTATTGGGGCAATTTCCTTTCAATCTTTCTGTAATACGAAGGTTTAGATGGCTAGGGCCTGTTCTTAGTCTCACTGCCCACGGGACGACCCTCATTCAGGTGTCCGAACATTTCTTCGTTCCCAGAGTCTGTATTGTATTGTGCTTTGTTTTCAGAGTAGACAAGTCAGCAGTTGAATTTTTTTTTTTGTGAGGACTTAAGGAATGAATATTCTGTCAGTACTTTTGAAATTGTAGTCATTTTATACAAAGGTGGCATTGATATTAAAAATCATGGAAATATAACAACTTCACAAAGTGTCGCATAATTTATTCATGCGATGCGAAGCATGTTTGCAAGCAGAAGGGGGTCACTTTCAGCACCTGTTATAAAGCACGGTAAGTTTGTGTTATCTTTTTACAGTATTCTTATAAATGTGTGCATGTACAGAAACTGATGTAAGGGTATCAGCGACACGACTGCACTCTCGCTAGCGGGGAGGGGCACAGTAGTCGCGGAGAAACGTTCCATCCGCTCTACGCTGCTGCCCCGGTTTCCTCGATCTTTGAACACCCTGTGTTACTAATTATGAATATAATTTTTTTAAATGAAGTGTGTTTTCGAATATAAGCTGCACCCCAGTTTTCCTCTTGAATTTTTGGCAAAAAATGTGCGGCATATACATGCGTAAATACGGTACTTGTGTTTGGCATAAGGAAAAATTGCCTGATCAGTGGAAGTAGTCTATTGTTGTTTGTGTATATATATACAGGGTGTCCCAGGAGGAATGGACCAAACTTCGGGAGGGTGTTCCTTATGTTAAGACCAACAAATCAATATTTAAATTCATTTTGTGTAATCACTGAATGATTCACTTGCAGTGAAAAGCTATACTTAAATACAAATAATGCAACAAAGCCAACATATTTCATTACAAATTTAAAAAACCAATGGTACTCACATTTAGCTCTCCGAACTTTCAACTTCTCTTCTGTTGCAGTTCACAATTACTAAATGTTTTAGGTTTTCCATAGTTAGTCGCCTCCTATTGTCTCGTAAGATGTCCTTATAGCGGGAAAAACTTCTTTCCACCTCACAGGAACTTAGGGGCGCATGTACAAAAGCCGCTATTTGCTCCACTGTTAGTGATTTTTTACTTGGCAGTTCAGTACGTTTACCGGCTAAAATTTCTTCAATTTCACAAATTTGTTCATATCCTGGATTTTTTTAAAGAATGCTGTGTACTTTTTCCTTTACTACTTCACCAACTCTTCCAGGAACCGAATTCAATTTGGAAACAGTGGTTTTGAACACACTTAACGACTGATACAAAGTAGTATTGCTATTGCTTGCCTCCAGTGAAGAAATGGCGGATGGAAGATGAGAGAAGTGAGCAGATATATAGGAAAGATTAGTTTCTAGTTCTGCATTTTTTAGTACATCTTGGGCAATTTGAATTGATGCTGCACTTTTGGGATCAAATTTATTCACAACATTCCTAACTGTTTCTAAATGTTTGGTATAATAACTCACTGCACACAGCCACGTGCCCCAGCGTGTTAAAATTGGTTCTGGCAGAAGTGGAACGCTCGGTGCTACTGCTTTAAGGCTTCTTTTCTGTATGGCGCTTTAACAAATACCTTCTTCACAGAAGACACCAACTTGTCAACAAGACGAAAATTTGCACGAATTGTTTCTGTAACATGGTGCAACCCATGGGCAAGGCAAGTCAAATGTGTCATATTTGGAAATATAACTTTTAAGAGCAGTACCGGCTTTCATCATATAACTTGCGGGATCAGTCACAAAGAGCAATACATGCTCCTACTGAATGCCATTCGGCCATAGTAAATTCGTGGAATTGATAAAAAATTTGGAAACTGGAGCTATTTGTAGTTTCAAATTGCTCTACCGCAAGAAGATATGGAGTATATTGTTCATTCTTATTAAGGGGTCCAAGTATACAATTTGCAATTGAGCATCCTTCACAATCTTGTGTTTCATCGATTAATACCCACACAAAAAAATTTTTTTTTACAAGACGGCCCGGTCCCAACAGATCAACTCGTAAATGCTTACTTATGGAGCTGAGCCCTTCTTGAGGAGCCACCAAATCTGTAGATACTCAAGAATTTGTCAGCATTTTATGGAATCCAAAGGTTCATTACCATGTTCACGAGAGCCCTCTACTGGTCCCTATCCTGAGCCAGATCAATCCAATCCATGCCATCCCATCCTATCTCTCTAAGATCCATTTTAATATTGTCCACCCACCTATGCCTTGGTTTTCCCAGTGGTCTCTTTCCTTCTGGCTTTCCCACCAATATCCTATATGCATTCGTTTTCTCTCCCATTCATGCTACATGCCATGCTGTGACGTCGGCTCATGTCCGTGGTCTGTGTGCGCACTTCTTCCCTCTACTGTCTTTCCCCCTCTCTCCTTCCTTGCCGAGCTGGCTTAGCGGCCTAGGGAGTGGAGCTAAGGGCTTGACTTCCCAACCGTTGAAGGGGTAGGTTGTTTCCATTTCGGACCACCGGTCGAGGCCACCCTCGACTGTCCAAATTTATTTCTCTACATGGCATTCAAATTCAGAAAAGCAAACTCTGCGATCATTTTGTAACAGGTATTTGCATCATGTTTTGTATTCTTTCTTTATTTATATATTATATTTATTCTTTGTTGTTAGTTGATTTGGTTATTTGTTTTTGGGTATTTCCGCCTTACTTATCTCTTTGTCCTCCTCTGCTCCTCTTATCCTGTGGTCACGAGAACCTATACGGACCCTGAAGGATCCTACGCTTCAGTGCCCACCTCATCCTCCTTGACTTGATCATTCTAATTATACTTGGAGAAGAATAGAAGTTATGAAGCTCCTCATTATGCAGTTTCCTCCAACCTCCTGTCACTTCATCCCTCTTTGTTCCAAATATTCTCAACACCCTGTTCTCAAGCACCCTCAGTCCATGTTAACTCGTAAATACCTTTCCAGTTTTTTTTAAAGTTCATACAATAATAGTAGAGTGAATTTACCGACTACGCAACACGTTTTTTATTATCACTACATGTTTCGACCTCAAGAGGTCATCCTCAGGTGTATGAACACGGCTGTATAATTACACGCAGTCACATTCACTTTTCACTCATTCGACCCTGTATCTTATCCAGATTTATGCTCACTAATATATTGAGTTATTTTATAAAAAACAGGTTCAAATTATTATTCTAATTTAATTGTTACCGCGTGTAATTATACAGCCGTGTTCATACACCTGAGGATGACCTCTTGAGGTCGAAACATATAGTGATAATAAAAAACGTGTTGTGTAGTCGGTAAATTCACTCTACTATTAATTAAACACACAACAGGATGTACGAAAGGATTAAAATTCATACAATAAACTAAGGTAAGTGTAAATAATTAATTATGGCATAATCATAGTTGCACACGCAATAGGATTCTGTCTTCACTAGTTGTCTCCTAGCAACAGATCTCAACACAGAAACTTATAAATCTCCCCAAATCACACTCCAAATGCCACTGCACTATAGCACACATAATGTCTTCAAATCACATGCATAGTCTTCACACGACGAACTTTCCTTGACTCTCTTCTACCGAGAACTCTCTCACTGTCACTTAAACACTTGAACACTTAAATGCTCTGCTAAATGTTCTGTCTCTGTCATTATATAGCCTCTGCACCGACCACACAGAAAACAGCCAATACTGTTGTAGAGAAGTGTTTACCACAACGTTGCATAGTAGCGAGTGCTGCTCGGTTCGGCTCGCACGGCATGGAGAAAACACCACTTTGTTTATTGTTGCGCGGTCAGGGCACCCACAGACCTCCGCAGCTCAAGAACTCTCGCATGTTGTAAATACGCCACATTATTTATAAGAAAAAAAAATTAAAATACCAGAACAACATATTGTTTTTTGGAAAGTGAGCTGCAAGAATTAGGATAATTTTATACAGTAATATCATACTGCTGCTCGGTGAGATTATGGTAACATGCTGTCCTGACAAAGCACTGGATACCGTGGCTGTATGTAATACAAATTCTGTCAATAGGGGGATCTTTCAGCAATCGTCTCTGTGTTATCAGTTGTCGTCATTTTCATGTAAAATCTTATTTAGAAGACCTTGAAATCCATATTTTGTTATATTTAGGGTCCTGTTGCACATATTTTTGTCCATGATTTATTTGACCGTCTTACAGTGCATACATTTATTCACCTTACTCTTCTCTTTTGCACTACATGTTTCAGTGCTAAAGTGCCATCTTCAGGTGCTTTTTGATGTACGTCGAACTACTTCATTGCATGCCCTGTTATCTTTACTAAAATAACTAAAATATATATTGATAAATTTTAAATATTAAAACTGTTCAGTATTTGTAGTATTTGTCATCTTTATGTCTACGC